TGAGGGCCTGCAAAGGGAGGGAGTTGGATTTCCCCAGCCCCACTGTGAGGACCACCTCAGAGCCTACCTGGTGAGACCTCCAGCCCTTTGCAACCTATTTTTAAAATTTTGAGACAGGCTCTGGTTGAGTCACTAAGCCCAAGCTGGGCCTAAACTTTCGATCCTCCTGCCTCAGCCTCCCAGAGTGGTAGGACTGGTCCACATTCTTTGGCACAAACCAGAAGGCAAAGTGCATCAGGGGTGTGCACACACATGTATGTTCCTATGCACATGTACATGCATGTGCACCAGGCAGCTGCTATGCATGTTTCTCAGGATCAGTGAGCTCCTGCGCATCCAGACTCCACTAATGTCAAAGTTCACAGCAGCGCACGGTTTTATCCCACCACACACTTCCCTTTCTAAGTCCATGAAAATTCAGAAGAAAAAGGAGTCAGGTACCAGAAGGGAAGGGAAACACTTGTATAATCTGACAAGTGCTGAAGGATGCCAACTTTTGAAAACAAAAATAAAGCCTTGCTTCGAAATCATCTCTGTCTCCCTCTCTCCTTCCATCTCATGCACAAATCCCAGCACTTGGGAGGCTGAGGCAGGAGGATCACCACACATTCCAGACCAGCCTGGGCTACACAATGAGTTCAAAGCCAGCCTGAACTACATAGTGAGAGCTTTTCTCAAACCACAAAACCAGTCAAAAGTAGCACTACAAACCGTGACCCCACCTGGGGCCCTGATGCGACCTCAGTGTTCGCAATCCCATGACGCCCCATGAAATTGACCTGGGCCCTCCCGGGCCTTGGGGACCCCAGACCCAGAGAGGAGACATCAAGTGTGATGGGAACATGCCCTGCCCTGCCGAGACCCTGCACTCCTCCCCAGAGCAAAACGGAAGTCGCAGAACACAAAGGGCTTCTCCTGCAGTGTAGGAACACTCGCTGTCGGTCCCTCTGGTGAAGCGGAGCCGTCCGGCATTTCCTCACCGCCAGGAGCGAAGCTGTCACACCGACCTGGCCAAGATGCCCGGGAACACCTCACTCTAAACTGCTTCATTTTATATGATGTGAACTTTACCTCCACTCCAAAAAAAAAAAAAAAAGCAGCTATTTTGGAACAATTTGGAAGCTGAAGCAGCAGAAATGTTAGCCTTTTGTCATGAAACATTTCCTCACCTGTTTTTTTTTTTTTTTTTACTTATTTTGAAAACTTTAGATGTGAAACAAAAGAATTACGTATTTCTTAAACTTTGTGATTTCCTCGATCTTGCTTACGTGAAGGCAAAGGAGAGAAAATTATAAAAATTGAGATGAAATGACTCCTTGACTGAAGTCCTTAAAATGCTTTCACTTCTGAGAAAAGCATTCCCCTTGGGGCTGGCAGGGGGACTGGGGCTGTGAAGGGCTCTGTCCGAGCACGCACATCCCGGGTGCGGTGAAGTTTAAAGTATTCTTTGAATTATTACAGTAAGAGACGCATCACCAGGGATCCCCTCCCGCTTCCAGCACACGCATCTCCTCATCCTCGCCACTCCCTGCGGCAGCTCCGGGGCCCTTGCGCCTGAGGGTGTCCAGTTGCGCTGTCCTGGCTGCCTCGATGTCCTGAGTCGATTCAAATGTTTCCTTTCGTGTCATTTTAACTTCACGGAAGAGCCAGGAGCCACACAGCACCCCATCTGGAGAGTAAAGTGGTCAGGACACAGCATCGAGATGGCCACACGCGCTCCGAGGGGACGTCGCCCATCGTCGCTGTCCCTGGTGAGGCTTCCCGAGCCCAGCGGGCCCGAGCCAGGCCCCACGGTCCACCCCAGAGCCAAGCGGTGGAGCACGCCCAGCTGCAGTGGGGAGGCCTGAGTGGCACCCACACTCACCCCCAGCAGGTAGCCAGGCCCAGACAGGGGCACAGGTGTGCAACCACTGCTGCTCCTCATGCCTGATTAGGCCTTGGGAGGCTGAGGCAGGAGGGCCACCAGGAGCTCAAGGCCAGCCTGAACTACGCAGTGAGAAAAACAAGATTCTACTGTTCTGGGCGACAGGGAGGCTTGGGTCCAGAGGAGGGGACAGAGGCCACATCTGTCAGCACTGTGCTGTGAAAACTGTCACCCTGGAAGAGCTCCAGCTCCCCGGTGACTTCGCCTAGCTCACAGAGTCCCTCCCGCCCGGTAGGTGGCCCAGGTACTGCAGGGCTGGCATCTGTCCCCTTCCCCCTGAGTGTCTAGGATTCAAAACTGCTTCTCTCATCCACTGAGCTATTAATAAATCGGGAGGACGCTTCAGTTTGCTTTGTTTGCTCTGTCTGTTTATTTGAAGGCCGCATGTTTCCGGGACTGCAGGGTGCCGGGTGCCTGTGAAGGGGACCCTGGGCCCTAGAGCTCTGTGGTCCTCAGCTGGAGGACCCAGGGGCGCAGAAGCCTCAAGGTGTTGGCTGCTCTCAGGGTCACCTGTGCGGGACCCAGGCACCCAACCCCACATCAGCCAACGTCCTTGGAACTGTCTCCCTGCCGGACCTCAGCCCCAACCCAACTCCCACTTCTTCTGTCTCTGTGGAAACCACTCCAGTCCACACTGCTGTGCTGGCCACACGGCGCCTCTGCACACAGCAGACACAGGGATGGTGGGCACATATCTGAGCCGTCATCGGCCCGGCCCCACTCCAGGACCAGGGCAGCTCCTCGGACAACTTCCAGGCCACATTCTGGGTGGGAGAGCTCAGAACAAAGACTCCGCAGAGCCCCATGCAGCCAGCTCAGGAAGTCCCCGCGTCTCAGCGTGGCTGCTCTGGCGTGAGCAGTCACCTGGTCTTTTTGGAGCTTCTTTCCACACAAGCAAACCCATGTTTCCATCTCATGAGCTCCTGGAGACGCAGACCCACAGGGACCCGTGCTGTTGTCTGCTTTATACCTGTAGAAAGGCGGCTTCCTGCTCCTCCCTGTTCTCCATGGGACATTTGCTAATCCTCACTCCCAGGATTTTTAGGCACACTGTACATATTCTCACTGCACTTAAGTTTAAAAGATGCTCAAAGGGGTCATGCAACTTGTGCAGGCTTGCAGAGGACCCGGCGGCCTCACTCCAAACCCCCAACCCCCATGACACTAAAGGCCCCAGTGCTGTACCGGTCAATTTTCCTTCTGTTTCTGGTCAATTTTCCTTCTGTTTCCTTCCTGTTAGTATGACAGATTCAACAGACAGATTTTCAAATGTTGACCCAGCCTTGTGCCCTAGAATAAACTCCGCTGGGCCCTGCTGCAGGATCTCTCTTCATACTGTGGATCCCATTGCTTATATCTGAGAATGAGCTCCTTGTCTGTCCCCGAGGGATACCGGTCTGTTATTTTCTTCTTTCTTGGGTGCGAGGACAGAGCCCAGAGGCCAACGCGTGCTTGCAGTGTGCTGTTAGGCCCCGAGTTCTCTGTTTCCGGGCATCTGTGTCTGTTTTTGGTATCAGGGTGATGCTAACCTCCTAACATGAATTAAGACGTGCTCCTTTCCATTTCTGGAAGGGATTGTGTCACATTAATGTGAGTTCTTTAAATGTCTGGTGGAATTTTCCAGGGGAACCAGCTGGGCCTGGAGATCCGGGAAACTCGTTAATCGTGACACAGGGTCCCCAGACCCAAAGCCCCGGGCACCTCCATTCCCTGACCCCGAGCATTCTCACACTTGCTTCACACACATCCAGGACTTTTTAGCTGTACTTTCTGGAAGAGACGGGGAAGAGTAAGCCAAAGAAATATGGAAAAGAAAGGCTACTCTGCCCTCCAGGAAGCCAGACCCCTCTCCAGAGTGCCGCATGCCAGGGGGTTCATCTCCTGGCTCTTGGCAGTGCTGGGATGGCGCCCCTGTGGGGCATGCTAGGCCAGGTCTCCCTGTGAGCCACACTGCTGCATGAGGGGCTACACGGTGGCATTTCAATCAGGGACACGACTACCTGCGTCCGTGACGGTGGCCCCACAAGCTTATGCTGACCTCAGTCACTGGGCATGCACGCGACGAGGCTTGTACAGCACAACACCTAAGACACACTCCTCACACGAGATCCTGTCACCAGCCGACGTCAGACGGCTACGTCACGCACGTGTGGGTGTGCGAGCCCCTGGATAGCAAACACACTGAAGGGCACACGGGTGGCCATGCGGGTGTGAGGCACCAGGACACGGCAGGAATCCACACTACTCCACAAGGAAAGCTCAACAACCTCACAGAGAAGAGCGGCAACATTCCGTGCATTTTTTCTTATCTTAAATTTCAGCCCCACCCGCAGCTGCATTGCTAAACACTGGATAAAAGGAGAGGCACTGGCCCCCCCTCAAACAACAAAGGAAAGTTCAAGAGCAAGTGGGCAGCTCAGGCCCAAGCAGGACACGGAGCCAGTGTCCTGGGCCAACCGCTCCTGGCAGGGGCTGGATGGAGGTACAACTCAGAGGAAATCTCTGGAAATCCCAGGAAATGCACCTAACAGCCATGAACCGGGTCCCTCAGGCAGGTCCCCTCACTGGGACAGACAAGCAGCCGTGGAGGACTAAAAGCAGAGAGAAGGGCGATTTTGAAAACACATGCAGGGCTCTAGGCGACATCTTCTCTCCCGCCTGCCTGGGCTTGGCCTCGACCACGCGGCATGGGTAGGTGTCTGGGCCTCACCACGGTGTCACATGGACAAGAACCAAGCCCTGCGGGTAGGGGCAGCTAGTGCATGGGGCGGAGAACTCACTCTCTGCCAGGAGTTGCTCCGCCCTGCCCGCCTGGCACTGACGCCCCGGGGACAAAGCACCTGTGATGAGGCTCCAGGGGCGCAGGATGCCTGAAGCAACTCAAGGTCCCAGGACCCCACCCCTCCACTGCATTCACAGCCTCCATCCAGCGTCTTGCCGTAGACCCATCCTACCCGGGGACTCGAGATGCAGCCCGAAGGGAAATCTGTCTGCAGAAGAGCGCGGCTCCATGGGACTGGCAGACAGCAAGTGGAGACCGCACTGCCTCCTCCGAGCCACGCAGGGCCTTTCTTACCGTGTCCACCTCTGGGTGCACCAGCTGGGCTGCTCATCGGGGCCTCAGGCGGGCTGAACGCAGGGTAGTAGGGCGGGGTCTTCACTGGAAAAGAGCACAGCACGGCTGTCACTTTCCTCCTGGCAGTGGCAAGCTCACACGGCTAGTTGTGTGTGTCCACCTAGCCCCCAAATGGGATGAACCCTGGGCCCCCCACGGAGCTACATGCCCAGCCCTTTTTCATTTTTTAGTTTCAGCTAGGGTCTTGCTAAGTCACTAAGTTCCCTAGGAGGGGCCCCAGCTTGGGATCCTCCTGTCTCAGCCTCCCGGAGTGCTGGGATGACAGGTGTGCACCCCCACGCCTGGCTCAGCATGCCCCCGCGAAGTTAGACTTCTTTCTTACCGTACGGAGTCTCTGGAGAGACAGGAAAGGCTGGCGTCGAACACACTGGCTCCTTGTTATTGAGCACCCTGCCATCGATCCCGTGGAGGTCTGAGGGGTACGCGGGGATCACCCTCTGAAAAGCACGGGTGGATGGAAGGAGTCAGGGACTCCCCCACTCAGCTGCACCCCAGGATGCTCCAGGGAGCTGGGAGCCCATCTGGAAGTGGGGACCACCAGCCCCTGCTCTTCCAGCCAGGAACTGCAAAGAGCTTTACCGTCAACAGCCAAGGAAGGGAGAGGCCGCTGGGCCGGCTGTCAGCACCAGGCTAACAGGGTGGGGCTCAGGAGTGTGAAACCTGTGGTTTGCTCACAAATACGGAACATCACACGAGTCGCATGCACAGCACCCCAAACACCAGCAGCAGCTTTGTCTGTGAGCTACAGCCCCAAGGGACCCGACCTTCCCGTCTAGGCTCCAACTTCTCCCATTTGTGGAGAGGGGAGGGGAGGGGAAGTAAAAGGGACCAAGATGGGATGCGGGTGTACACACGCGCACCCGTGAGGACTGCGTACCAATAAGCAAAGAGGAAACAAAAATCCTAAGTTGACCTCTCGAGGCACGGAGCCTGCTAACCCCACTCCGCTGCGGGAAGCCGGGAGCCCAGTACACAGGAGCCCCGTCTGTGGCCTCCTCACCCCCAGGTCCCATGTGACCTGGCTGGAGGATGCTGCGTGTCCTCCCGGTCCCTCCCACTTCCGGGCCTGCTTGACCCCTGCCTCTCGCAGCCCCGGGGGCTCCACGCTGCACCCACCTCCTTGGTGTCCCCGGGAGAGGGGAAAGGTTCCCGGCTTGGGGCTGAATCCACGCTGGCCTTCGCCCAGGCACACTTGGAGAAGGGCAGCTGAGCCCCGGAGTCGTTGTCATACTGTCCCAGGCTCATCTTCCGGAGCCTTCCACCCAGGGGCTCGTCGCCAGAGGGGCCTGTGTGAGAGACAGGTGTGGGCTGCAGGGTGAGGAGACCCTGGATTAAAACCCCCGCTGTGAAGAGGATGTGGTGGTGAATGCCGGCAATTCCGCAACTCCGGGAGGCTGAGGTGGGCAGATCTCAAGTTAGAGCCCAGCTTGGGCAAGTAAGTGAGACCTCATCTCTAAATAAAAGATTTTAAAAGTGCTGGGTTCAAAGCCTAGTTACATATACACACCCCTAGTGTGAAATTCCTCCAAGGCAGGCTGCACCTCATCACTAGTGGGCTGTGCCCAGAGCCTGGGCAGAAGGTGGCCCACGTGGACAGCTTAAACCCTACCCAGGAGGACCGGGGGTCAGAACACAAGTCCAAGCGGAGGCGATGAACACTCAGTGTCCTGAACAGTGCAAGTGCTTATTCCTGAATCCGGCACCACGGTCCCTGCTCATGTTGGGGATCCTGGCTGGAGTCCATTACTTCTTAAAAAGCTCTTTTAACTGGGGAGCTGGGGAGGCCTGTAGCGAGCTATTAAATGCTTCAAATTGGGATGCACCCTAGAGGCTGAAGCAGGAGGATCTTGAGTTCCAGCCCAGCCAGGGCAGCTCAGCGACTTAGCAAGACCCTGACTCAAAATAAAAAACAGAAGAGGACTGGGGTGCAGTCCAGTTCGAAGAGCCTGGGTTCAATCCCAGGACCACAAAATAAAAGGACAAAAGGACGCTGTAGTCTGGAGACTCGAGCCCAACTCCCACCTCCCCTGCAGCGAGCTCTAAGTGAGGGTCACAGGGCCGTTGCTGCGGGGCCAGGTCTACAGTGACACAGCGCGACGTCCCAGGGCGGCAAGGTCTGACCACTGACCCGGCAGTGTGCGGCTCACTCTGAGGGACGGTGCTTACTGCTGAGGCCAGGCCGCCTGCAGGGACACAGCCTGGCCGTGGCGTCCTTCACCGAGGGCCCGCACGGGGCTGCAGCCCCAACCTGCTTCTCTCCTCCCCACCCAGACCCAAGCCGCTCTGCCAAAGGATTCCTGCGCCCCGGGAGGAGCTGGGTCTTGGGGGGCTCCAGTCTCAGTCTGCACAGCCAGGCCCTCCTGGGATCCAGGCCGGCGCCGAGGCCGGGCTTCCTGTTCTGGGATGGCTGCTTGGTGCCACTAGGCTGAGTGACATCCGTCCAGCTCCCTCCCATCCCAGGGCAGGGGTCAGGGTTCAGCACAAGGCCAGCATGTGGCCACCTGAGCCTGGGGCCACCCGCAGAAGGTTCTGCCGCCGCTCACTGAGCATGCTGTCTCGGCTGCAGCAAGGCTGACGCATCACAGCCAGGTTTGGGGGACTCCAGGCAGACGTCAAGTTCGAAACCCAGCAACACCCAAAGAGGAGCAGCTTCGGCCACCAAGGGTGAGAGGTTACAGGTCTACGGGTCTCCTCTGTCTGGGGAAGACGTCAAACTACAGGGGCAGGGAGCCCTGGGCCAACGTGCAGGTGTGCGATTTCACCTGGACACAGAACATCAGAAACTCCCGTGTGAGCCTGGACGGTGCTCCATCCCCACACTCGACGCTTGGCTCCATCCTTCCACATTTCCACTAATAATCCCATTTTCATTCTCCAACGCTAGAAGACCTCGAGAAAGGCTACACGTGGGCACAGCAAAGCGTCTACTGTATGGAGTGCTCTGCTTCCAACTCCCAATGCTTCCCTGATTGTGTACCAGCGTGCACTGCTGTTCACACTCACAGACCCTGCGTGTGACAACTGAGTTTGGAGTTCGCTGCGCAGGCACCGCACCTCTCCCGGAAGTGTGCAGTGGGGATCCGGGCAGGTCCATGGCTCCAAGGCACTGGCTCCCGGACCCGGAAACAGCTGGGACACAAAGCGCAGTCCCCGACCGACCAGGACATCCCACAACTCTGCCGCAGGGGTCACAGGGACACCCAGGGGATCCAAGCCGCAGCCTCCAGAAATGGCTCCTGTTCCTGAGGAGTACCCCTCCCCTGTGCCTGCTGCACACCTGCCTCCAGCTCACTTCCCAGACAGGAAAAGACACCGGAGACCCCCCTGCCCCGGTGGTGACAATGTGCAGGAAGCGCAGCCTCTTCGGTGACTGCCACCTGCAGTCCCTTCCAGGGATGCCAATGGGGACGACCCTATGCCGGCTGTGCACAGGATGAGGCCACTGGGCTGCGGGCACCCTCAGCAATGCCACCAGTGCCACAGTGGGGAGGGCAGGGCAGGACATCCTCGGGCTCCTTGTCTGGGGACCCTGGGAGGGGACACTAGGCCCATGGAGACCTGGAGAACCAGTACCCAGGCCCAGACAGAGCTAAGAGCTCACGGGCAGGACCGAGGTCGGCATTGCGAGGGGAAGTGTGAGAGGGACTTGTTCGGGGACACGCTCCCTGAGCCAGAAACTGTCGGGCTCCTAACACACTGAAGTCCTGTTCTGGGAGCTGATCGGGCCATTTGGATGTTTTGAGCACAGGTGGACGCCGGCTCCCAGGCCCTGAGGTCTGGGGAGGCAGGAAGAGGAAGGAAGTGAGGTAGGAACAAGCACTGAGCAGCCCATGGCGACACTGTCACCAGATCCTTTCCACTGCAGTTAACACGGCCCACTCGCACTGTGAACTAAAGTCTGCATCACAGGGAAGGACAGACCATTGACTGCCCCTACATCCTGGGCAGACCCAAGTTCTGGTCCATCCGAACTGCCCAGGGAAACCTTCCAGCCTCCCCGAGCCGTGGGCTGGCCCCTAGGTGACTGGGACACAGCCACAGAATCACACCCGTGGCTCTGGAAGGAGCTGTCCACTGGGATCTCCAGTGGTTCCAGCAGCTGGGTCTCGCCCCGCCCCGCCGCTTCCCCAGAAGTCCAGACCTAGGGCAGGAGCCTCACGTAGGGTCAGCGTGGCATAAGTCCCCAGCGCTTCTGACTCCCAGGCCCCGCCACACTAATTCCCTCTGCCACCCTCTGAAGCAGCTCTGGAGTCCTCTTTTCTGAGAATCTTTACGAGACTTGATCAAAAGTATGGTGAACGCTGCCGCCACCTGCCATCCAGTGGAAAGCAGGCTTGTAAAAACATGACGCTGTGTCCTCATGACCTTATTCACCAGGTCTGCACTGTGAGGCTCCTGGCTCCTCCACAAAGTCAAAATGACCATGATAGGTGAATATTCTACATCGATTCAGAACATGAGGCAGCCAGGACAGCACAACTAACGGCACTGAGGAAAGAGGACTCCAGAGCTGCTGTGGAAAGTGGCAAGAGGGGAGGGGCATGCTCAGAGGGGTGAATGATAATGCGCCTCCCATGTGTCTCACTGTGTTTACTGACCACACCCTGCAAGTTCATGGTTAGATACTTAGGCCAACATGCCCGGAACAGCACTGTGTGTAAACAGGGCCTGTGGCCATGCCTGCATGACGAATACTGACCAGGCAGGGCAGCCAGTGCCAGCCCAGGCCCTGTCAGCATGCAGATGCGGCCGATGGAGTGGAATAAAATATTCTGACAGCATGAAGCCCTTGGGGTGCAGAGAAGCAGAGGCAGCTCTGCCATCCATGCAGCCAGTCACAGGCTGTCACCTGGGTGTCGGGGGTCCCATCTCCCCACCCAGAGGCTGTGGAACCCACCCATGTGCAGGCTGGAGAAGGCCAAGGAGTCCCGGGGAGAGGCGGGCAGTGGCCCCTCAGGGAATGGCACTTGGTGGGAACTGATGTCGCCCAGCCAACCCCCGAACCTCTCGTCACTTTGCAAGGGTACAACACTGCGCACCTGGTCCTGGGGCGGAGAGGGCGCCCTGCTGTCCTGGGCTGAACTCTCCTCAGGCGCACCCAGCAGAGCTACCCGGATCTTCCTGCGGGGGGATGGGGGCTGCACTGTCTCCTGTGCCTGCCCCTCCTTCCTCAGTATCCAGCATGCACCACACGCCAGGAGACAGGCGAGAGTCATGGTGCTGCCCCAGAGAGGTTTGCTGGTTGGTGGAAGAAGGGAGTGTATTCCGTTGAGGGTACTGATACGGGGTGCAGGGTCAGACGGGTGGGGCTCAGTCACAAGTCCTGGAGGGATGGAAGGTGGCTGGGGCAGCGCAAGTGCTCAGACCAGCAACTCCTATGGCATCGCCATGACCATCACCACCACCATCACCATATTGTATTGATCAGTTTCCCGTCACTGCAGCAAATACCTAAGACAGCCAACTTACAAAGAAAAGACATTTCTTTAGGCTCACGGTTTCAGAGGTTTCAGGCCCTGATCATCCTATTCCTCTGGTCCAGCAACCAAGCGCTCATCTTGGTGGCAGGGTGTAGCAGAGCAAAACATGCCCACCATGGCCACGGGGCAAAAGAGAGAGGAGGAAGAATGGACAGGGATCCCAACATGGGTACACCCATTAAATGACCTAAATGACACACCTACACTGACTGACTGATTTCCTCCTAGTCCCCACCTCTTAAAGGTTCTACTACCTTCCAATAGCACCTTCCTGGCAAGCAAGCCACATGGACTTTTGGCAAGGGGACACTTGGATGGAAACTACTGGAATCTTCACCACCATCATCTCAAGTATGCATCACCTTCCTGATTGTCACATCACCACCATCATAACCACCATCAGAGCATCAGCATCACCATGTCCCTCACCCTCACCACCACCATCATTGGAGTCATGAGAGCCATCCCCAACACCACCATAGCCAGGATCATCGCCATCTGCACCACGATCACATCCTCATGAAATCGCCCAGACCCCATCATCCAGCTCCATCACCACCACCACTGCCATCAGCACCAGCAGCCCCTGCAGCACCAGTCTTATCACTTTGCGGCATGAAACATCCTCGGGAAAGGCTCAGCCTTTAACTTCCATCTCAGGCCCATGGTGAAATGCCGATGCCCGCAGAGCTGGAGAGACATCAACACCCTCAGCAGTCCTCAGGGGAAGACTGGGCAGCACAATTCCCGAGTCGCTACCACAGTGGGGCCTCTGTTGTATTTGGGACACTATTTGCAGAGACAGATTTGACTAACTTCAGAGTGCTGAGGCCATGCCTTCATCTACAGCCAGAATCAAGACAGCTGAGCAGCAGTCAGCTTCCAGGGCCGACAGAGAAGGCAGGCCAGGGGCTCGCAGAGAACACACCGCTCTGGGAACTGCACAAGACTCAGGTGGGCGTGGCTGGGCCCTGCTGTGCTGTCAAGGGGACTGGGACCTGGTGGGGCTCATGCAATGGTGATGTACTGATGTCCCAGGTCCTGGAGCTGACAGCCACATGTGCAGGACCCCAGCTCTGCAGCCCTCACCTCCACAGAGACAGACAGAATGGACATGGAGCTGGGAACCTGAAGAGTACAGGGTTTTTACGCCCCACCCTCTGAAGATGTACCAGGGTCTGGAAACCAGTTGGTTCGCCACCACACTTTTAAGGGCTTTCCTGCTAGTGTCTAGGGATTTTTGTTTGCAGTTGCTCATCAACCTAGCCTTTTCTAATTGAGACATAAACACAGGTACTGAAATGTCAATTTTAAAATCAAGAGGGTTCTAGCATTCTCTCTACCTGCCAGAGTAGAACACTCCCAGCCCAGCTGCAGGGGGTTACGGATGTAAAGCTTCTGATGATTTCTGGCGATACAAGGTGTCCCGGAGGGAGAGCTAATGGCTGGCTGAGCACAGCGTCTTCACAACCTGGCCTTCTTACACTAACGTAGTCCCAGCCTCAGGGCTCACCCCATCGTCCTGCTGGGTGTGTACCTAAAACAAGAGGCCCATCCCGGAAGATGGCACCAGCTGGAGAAGGACATGGCTCTGCCCCGTCCCCAACACCAATGTTCCTCTGCTATTGCTGCTCTGCAACAGGCTTCCTACAAGAAGGTCACTGTCAAACTTCAAGATCACAGAAGACTGACATCTAGCTTGCTTATACCTTACTTATCTGCTATCCCTGCAAGTCTAAAGGTAGGAAAAGAATTGACAAATGTCCCAAAGCACCTGTCGAACATAAACAGACTAATAAACACTTACAATTTCTACAACCTCTGACCAAATGTGCACTGGATTTTGCTAGCTGTTGTTGAAATATGAAAGCTCTTTACTTTCAAAATCATAATTATTTCATAATAAAACTAAAGGGGTCTAAGGTTAAAATCTTAGTTATCAAAGTGATGAGTTTATCAAGTAATTTTAAAATGGGAACGTGAGGGTGGAAAATATGAGGTGATGTCCTGACATCCCAGACTTCATAGCAGGAACGGGCCAGGGATGTAGCTCAGTGGTGCCCGCTCCTGCCTCACAAGCACAAGGCCCTGAGTTCAATCCCTGGTACAAAAAAAAAGAAAGATGCTTATAGCAGGAATAAGGAATCCTTGTCGACTGAATTCAGTCCACCAGAGAACACAGTAACCATCCAGGGCCATGGCACCAGGGAGATCTGGTCCCGAAGTCCCTTCTTTTCCCCAGGACACTCAGATGCTTGCAAACCCCTCTAATCTCAGGAGAGACTCCAATCCCAGAGAAGACACTGCTGACTTTAATTTTTCCAAGCAATTTCTTTTAAGAAGTTGTGCTGAGGTAAGCCAGGTCCAATAATGCACATAGTTTTCTTCCCATGTGAAGCCTTTTCTTAAACCCAGAATTTCCTGAATATAATGGATTAAATGAGTGAATAAATGTTTTAACCTGGACTGAGCGCTTGCTGACTGCCACTCTGCTGGTGGGCGTGCTTGGTACACGGCTGAATTGCAGTCTGAGAACCTACTCCAGGGAGACGCCACCAGCTGCCTCTGTCTCTCTCTCTCTCTCTCTCTCTCAGGTGTTTGATATACACAGCCTGCAGTGGTGGGGCATGGCACTTGGGAGGCAGGCTGGCTTGACTGACTTTAAGATCCACATGGGTTATCGTGGAGCACACTGCTGGTTGTGTCTGGGTGGGTTATGGAGCTGTAGCCTTGGGGTCTACATCTAGTCCCTCTCCCCTTCCTGTCTGGGCCTGTTCCCTGCTCTGCTATCTGCCTGCCATGAACTAAGCATCTTTGATCCTTTACACCCTTCCGCCATTATGTTCCTTCCTCAGAGCCAGCCGACCATGGACTGAATCCCCTGATACCGTGAGCCACATTAAACCCATTCAAGCTGTGGGTGTTGGTTGTTGTGTCCAACAATGCGAATGCTGCCTGACACATCAGGGAAGCTGAAATGACCTGCTGTTCACCCACTGATGACTCCAGTACTTGAAGGTGACTTGGCCAGTCAGCTCCACGCTCTCCATCATTAGTACCTGATACAGGGCTTCCTTTTCACAGATGGCACTAGCAGAAATTCACAGAAACTCAGTCCTTTGGCCCAGCTTGGTCCCTGAGACCCTCCGACTGCTGATTCCCCTCCTAGGCCCAGGTGACCCAGCTGTCCAGGACCTCCGGCCTTTGTGGCTGCTGGCCCCTTAAGCATATGAGTGACCTGATCCCAGCGTGGGATGAGAAGGTCCTGCTCCAGCCCTGTCTCCCTGCAGCCAACCGGCCCCTCCTGCTCCAGGGGTGGACACAGGCAGCCCCCACACCTGGCCGATCACCCCTGCAGTGCCTGGTTGGCAGCCTTGGTTCTCAAACTTGAGATCCTGCTGCCTCAGCCTCCCAAACAGCTAGGATTACAAATGCTCACCACCCTCTCATTCACCACCCTCTCATCACAGATGAGCACCCCCTGAACACCGCTCACCTGGATTCCTGGAGGGGCTCCTGCTGGGGCTCTCCATGGGGCCGGGCAGCCTGCTGCTGGCCCGAAGGCCACCTCCCGTGCTGTCAGGACACGAGGAGACATTGGCCGGGCCTCCCAGGCAGTTCATGTGGGTGGGGAGGGGCTCGAAGGTGGGGTCCAGCTCCAGGATCAGCCTGTTGAGCTGCTCGATAGACTGGTCGATGTCCAGCGTGGGGGAGCCGGGGGCAGGGCCTGAACTGGGCTCCTCGCCGGCTCCATTCAGCACCTTCTGGTCTGGAAGCCTGGGCTGGAAGGCTCTGCCGGGGCAGGGCTGTTGGGCATCAGGTGCGTCTGCCCCATGGCCAATGCCCCGCTGCACGGCCACTCTGCTGCTGGCCCCTCGGGCGGGGGTGACCGGGAGCCGAGGCGGGGCCTGCACCAGGCCAGATCCGTCGGCCAGGTCATGGCTACCCAGCCTGGCGTCCCTGTCAGGCACAAAGCTGTACTGCTGGGCAGCCACCATCTGCTGCTGCTGCACCCAGCTCTGGGTCGGGTAGCCGCTCTGCCCGTAGGCTGGCATGGGCATGGGCGCCGATGGCTTCCTCAGCACCGGCTGCAGCTGCTTGTGCTCCCGGCCACCCGCAAACGTCCGCTCCCGCTCATAGAGGGCGTCCACACCAAGGCCCAGGCTGGGGGGCCCATCCTCCCCAACCGGGCAGCTGAAGGCGTCGGACAACAGAGAGTGCTGGCTGCTCTGGTGGCAGGCGAAGGGGCCCAGGTGGGCGGACGGCTGCCCCTCCAACGAGGACAGGGTGCCCAGGCTGTCCGTGCTGTGTGGGTCCAGGTGTGGCATCTCGTCGTCCAGGATGTCCGTCTCCCGGTCCTTCGGGGCAGCGTCGCCGTTCACATGCACTTGCGCAGGCACCACGTGGCGCGTCCCCCCAAACTTGCTGTGCACGTCCATCATGTCCTTGAAGCCACCCCCTGCGTCCTCCAGGCCAAAGCCACTGAGCAGCTGGTCCAACTCGGCCTTCTCCTGCGGGCTCAAGCCCCTGGGCGGCCCCGGGGCCAGCCGCTCCTCAGTCTTATCTGTCCTGGCGGAGGCGGTAGAGTGGCCCGAGTCGCTGCTGACCGACAAGGTGTGGTCGCTGTGGTCCGGGCTGCCAGTGGCCGGCAGGGCCTGGGGGCTGCAGGGGTCAGGGGAGCTCTTCTTCCGCACCTTGGCATAGAGGCTGCCGTCTACCGGGCCTTGTGTGTGCAGCACTGCAGGGAGAGGAGACAGATATGGTGAGCAGGCGAGGAAAGGGAGGGCCACCCCTCACATGGGCGCCCGCACGCGCACCCACACACACACACACACACACACACACACACACACACACACACACACGGGCACTCGAGACACAGTTTACAGTAAACAGCCACAGCTGGGCATGGCAGCGCATGCCTGTGATCCCAGCACTGGGGAGGCTGAGGCAGGAGCATGGTGGTGAGTTCGAGGCCACCCTGGGCTCCAGAGTGAGTTGAAGGCCAGTCTGAACTACAAAGTGAGACCTTGGCTCAAAAAACCAAGCAGGAGACCAGGGATGTAGCTCAGTGGTGCCACTGCCTACCTCACAAGCCAAGGTCCTGAGTTTGATCCCAGTACCAAAAAAAAAAAAAAAAAACCCAAGCGGGGACAAAGAGCAGACAGCATCCCAGAGTTCCAGTGCAAAGGCGTTCAAAGATGCACACCTCAGCAGGTGCTGGAATCATTTCTAGTTTCCTATGCAAACCCGGCTCCTCTCCATTGGCCCCGTCTCGCCGGGGGCTCCTAGTCAGTGGGGTTCCTGTCTGGTGGAGCCAACTTGGCTCACAGATCCCCAGCAGTCCTCGGTGGCTGAAGCCAAGTGTTAGTAAACTGACTAAGCAGTGCCTCCATGATTCCAACAGGCTCGAGGAGCACAAAGACAACGAGTATCCCACAGACGGCCTGGACAGAGGCGTAGCGTCATCTCTAGGCCACCAACGGCACAGGTCCTGGCTGCGGGTCGAGGGCAGGAGAGTTTCTGCAGCGAGTACTAAACGTGCCAAGTCGCAAAGCTGGCAAGTGTTGAGGTGTGACTCCCCACAAACCCAGTGTCTTCTCTGCTCAAACCTCAGTATGCAACTTGGCGAGAAGGGACCCTGGGCTTCCCGGGCAGTCCCACATCTCTGGGCCACTGAGGCACCTGTTCAGCACCAAGACTGCCCAGCCCTCGAGCAGCTGCGATGTCAGGAAGAGGGAAATCAGGCCTGTGGTGTGGGCAGGAGGAGTGGACTCCTGCAATGCTATTGTATATTTATTTGTTTTGTTTTGTTTTTTTTCTTTCTGGTTACAGGGATCGAATTTGGGACCTTGTGCTTGCAAGGCAGGTGGTGGAACCACTAAGCTAAATCCCCCGCCCTGTTTTGGTTTTTTTGAGACAGAGTCTCAGCTATGTAGTTCAGGCTGGCCTTGAACTCATATAGCCCAGGCTGGCCTTGAACTCCTGGCGATTCTCCTGTCTCAGCCTCCTGAGTGTTGGGATTAGAGGCGTGTGCCACCATGCCTGCATTGCTGCTATTATTAATCAGACCCTGGGGGCGGCACTCAGAGTCCTGAGCCTCCATCTGCTCACTGGCAGCCATGAGTCACCCGGGCCACACGTGGGGCATCCGCAAGAGCCTCCTAAGAAAGCTGCGTGTGTGGCTGCATGTGCCACCCTGCGAGCTGGAGCTTCACACGCAGAAACTCGAGCACCCAGGACACCCAGATTTGACAGGTGTGAGCCACACCTCCTGTAAGAACAGAGGACCAGAAGCTCCCCTCCCCCACAGGGTGGCAGCCTGGGCGCACAGCCAGGGAGCATGAACAATCAAGGACGGGCTCCACTGGGGGCCCCGTGCTGTGCAGGAGCTCGCCCTGCCCCTGAGAACACACCCAGCCCAGGGTTCCTTCTCTTCCCCATACCCAGGGGCAAGGGGCAGGGAAGCCCCAGTCCACGTCCAGATGCAGAGCTCAGGAGAGGGCTGAGGGAGGGAACTGGGCACCCAGCGCTGCACGGGATCCAAGACCTTGGGACAGGGTGCCCAGGGACCGGAGCAGAGCTGATCGGCCACGGGACTCATCGGGACAAGAGGACCAACGTCACTGCCATGCACTGCAGCTGTCCCAGGGCCAGCACAGGCACATTCCCTCTCATTCCTCACCTGACCTAACCAGGGAACTTGATGTGCCACTTCCTGTCTACCCAGAAAGAACAGGCTCCAGGAGACAGACAAGCTGCCTAAGGTTAGGCGGCTACCAGGAGGCAGAAGGGAGCCCAGCTTCAGCTGTCCACATCGCCTACCCTCAAGGCCAATCTCCAGGCGGCTGTGCCCAGCAATCAGCCAGGCCCAGGGCTGGGCTGCAGAACCCCCAGCACCCAAAACACCCGCTGGGCCAGCTCTGTGCGAGTCATGCAGGGACTCCTGCAGAGATGACCCTCGGTTACAAGTCCCTGCGAATGTCACCTCTGCCAGCCCTGAAGTGTACGGCCCGGCACGCCGCCTTGCATCCTGCACAGCGTGAGAAGCAGAGAGGAGGGGCCTGATACACGGTTTCCGACAGGGAGGCGGGGGTGACAGTGACCGCCAAGGGATGGTGCTGGTGATGGACAGGTGACGGTGATGCCTGACTCGGTGCTATGGACTTGCCATGGTGATGACTCCGACAGTGGCGGGAACGTGGTGATAATGAAGACGGTGATGGCGGTGGTGGTCGTGGTGGTACTGAGTCCAGCATTTGTCTCTTAAGTGCCACCAACAGGCCGCATGGTTTGGCCCCCAGGACAGTGCTACTGAGAGGTACCAGAAGCCATCAGAGCTGGGACTGTGGAAGGTCGTGGGTCACTGGGGCACATCTTTCTGCTTGGTAAGCATAGCGGACCCTCGCCAAATAGGACACCGGTCCCCTGCGCAGAGAGGCAGCCGCTGGGCCACCCAGACGGCTGGTAACAGGAAGAGCTGCAGGTTGCCTGCCAAGGCTGGACATTCACGCCTTTCACCACATCATACATGTGATGTCCCCTAAATTAGCTGGCACACGCAGGGTCAGAGGAGACTACGGACTGATCACTGGGCTTCAGCTATGAGCTTGGAATTCTTGTAACATAGAACTTTAGAAGTTGTGAAACGTATTTAAAACTGAATTCTGTAAATAGCTTTTTTTTCCACAGTTCCAAATGAGTTCATAAAGATTGTTGATGGGATCCACAACCACAAAAAGTAAAAAGCTAGAAAAGTTAGCTGGCACAATGACCTTTTGAAAAGGAACCCAGGAATGAGCTGTAAATATATTCTGCTAATTTAAACTGGAATACAGCCAAAAGGCAGCTGCCAGTCATGGTGAGGCGAAGTGGACCCTTGGTCGTCCCAAACTAAGAACAGCACATGGAGGGGGAGGCAGTGTAGACGGGTAAATGGCAGGAGGTTCGCATGGCCGGGAGAACGTGGGTCATCTTGCTGCTGCTTGCTTCTGGGTACTGAGGACTGAACCCAGGGCCTTTGCACTGACCTTCACCTCCAGCCAGGCTTTATTTCTTATCTTGAGACAGGGTCTCACTAAGTTGCCCAGCTGAGGCTCGAACTTGGGAATGCCCACCTCAGCCTCCCACTGTGCTGGGATCACAGGCAGATGCCCCCACACTCGGCACCTACTGCTCTTCATTAGTAACAGAAATGTTGAAATGCGACGGATGCATCACAAACACCTGCCTTTCCCTGCAAGGACTGCGTGCAGCTCAGTCCCAGGCTGGACCTGAGCCTCAGTCTCGCGGACCTCGGCAGCCCAGCTGGCCATGTAGCTGTGTCCCTACCTCGAGTTCAGCCACAGGACAGAGGAGAAATCTTGCCCCATCCAGGGCCGGAGACCTGGCAAGCTTTTCCGCTGCACCCTGCCGGCCCCAACCTCAGCACAGGCCAGTGAACCCAAATCTGCAGGAAAGGCTGAAACGTACTGTGGGAAGCCCCAAGTAGCTGTGCAGGGGCAGAGGCCCTGCACAAGGGAGAGCTGGAGGCTTCCTGGGTCTCCACACCACTCAGGCTCAGGGGAGGATGGAGGAATGTAAGGCACTCGGCTCACAGGCCCTCAGCAGGGCGCCCTGAGCCCTGTCCCAGGCTCTCTCAGCGGTGGACGAGCACGGTCCCCTCCCCGCCCACCCTGCGCTTTCCCAGGGCCTTTGCTCTGGCCGCCCTCAGCCCCCAGACCCTGCCCCACTGCCCCTCCTTGCTCTGTTTTTACCCACAATGCACACACCTACCAGACCGGGGGTTGCACACTCCCTGTGTGTTTTGTGCGGCCGTCTGCCCCACCGGAACAGCAGCCCCCCCAGGGCAGGGGCTGTGCTCTGCTTTGGCGCCTCTCATAGCCCAGCACGGGAATGTGGTCCTGGCACCCAGTGGCCATTGACTGAGTCACTAAGAGACAAAGTGTCCCGGCTTGTTCTCACACGACAAAACCCCAGGCACTGTTTCCAAAAGGAGCTCAGGGCCTCAGCAAACAAATAAGAAATCTAGCAAACAACCTTGACCCAAAACAAACCACCCAAAGGGATGGCGGGAAGGCAGGGGTGCCTGGGTCCCGCACTCCAGGCGGCCAAACACCCTCTTCCTGGCAGCACTGGGCATGCTGTCCACGCCGGCCAGAGCGGGAGTGGCTGTCACTCCTCAGTCACCTGGCTGGACTCCAGAACACAAACCCAAGTGGAAAAGTACCTGCAGTCACCGGGTCCAGGATTGCAAGATTGCAGGGAACGTAAGTCATGACCCCAAGGCGGAGGTACTGTGGCCGTGAAACAGGAAGCAGGGCGCAGAGGCCAGCTGTGTGAACCCGACCGGGACCCAGTGCGCACCAGGCCAGGGCATGGCACACAGAGCACACAGTGCCACATAGCAATCCTGACAGCACCCGTCTCCCGCATCTTCCTGTCATCTGCCGGAACCAGCCCTGGGGCCACACATGTCTTGTCACCTGCAGGCCTGAGTCACGCGCACTGTGAGGGAAGCATGGGCCCGCCTTGGGGAAACATTCCTGCTATTTTGATAAGGCCTGATGCAAAGGCTTCTGGAAAAGACGGCAATGCACAGGGCCTGGTGACCGGAAGTGGAAGGCAAGTGGGGTGTGGGGCAGATGGTCACCACAGCTGATGGTGACCTCTCCACTGGAAAGGAAACCAGAGCCCAGGACCTGGTCGCTGGAGGCTCTTAGGCCCCAGCTGACCACC